CATGCTAGCTAGCTAGACGGATCATACACGCTAGCTACGACCGCCACAAACGTTAGCTAGCTAGCTAACAGTACACTTTAACTTGCAATGAAAATGACTTTCTGTCAAAATTAGAAACGTGTAATATCTGAAAATGTAGCTAGCTAGACTATCTTACCCATATACATCATGGATGGACGCTTCTCCCTGTCAAGGATGCCATGGTTGCCCTTAGTTTGAAGATGTAATCCAGAGACAGGTGTTTTCTCCATCTCATTAGCTATCATACTCTAATTCCACTGATTTCAAAACTCGGTCCTCCAGAAAGTGGAGAGCAACACTTATGCAGTTCTACTATGCAATATATATTTTTTAAAAGCAACGTTAGACAGGATTACCTACACAGACTGAGCAGCTCAAATAGACAGAAGCGTGCTATATGGCAGACCAATCCGAACTCATCTCTCGGCATGTCCAGCCCACTCATTATCTCAGCCAATCATGGCTAGCGGGAAGGTTGCTGTCTTTTTCTGTGGCTAAACCAACTAGCCTCGTAATTTAACAATTGTATTCATATTTACAGATGGCATACAAGTTTGTTATTTAGGCACATGAAAGTTCATATGTTCCAGAAGGCATTTCTGCCAAAAAATGCATTTTGATTTAAAAAAAATCTACTTTCAAATGGCTCTCATGTGAAGTAGTGACGCGAGACATATGCCTAGTTTCCTGAAGCGAGTCACATATTCCAATCTGTGCTAGCGAAACAGTCCTGTAGCTTAGCATCCGCTTCATTGGACCACTTCCGTATTGAGGGTACCTCCTGTTTGAGGTTTTGCTTGAAAGCAGGAAGCAGGAGGATAGAGTTCTGGTCTGATTTGCCAAAGGGAGGGCGAGGGAGGGCCTTGTATGTGTTTCTGTGTGTGGAGTAAAGGTGATCTAGAGTCTTGTCGCCTCTAGTTGCACAGGTGACATGCTGGTAAAAGTGAGGTAAAGCAGATTTCAGTTTCCCTGCATTAAAATCACCGGCCACGAGAAACTTGGTAAATAGTATGACTCTTGTAGCCGGAACCGCTGTTTCTGACCTGAGTATAAACTTGTCAGACTATTTTGGAGTCAGATCCGGAGATGCACAGTAAAGCCATATAATGTGATACCTGTGACATGTTCATTGTCGTAAAAGAGGAAAATTATACTGACCTTATATACTTGTGATTAATGCAAACAGCTCCGTGTCTCAACAGAGAAGATTATTGAGCTACCAGAAGAGAATAGGATCCTAAGAGAACGTCTCGCTCTGGCTAAGGAGACTTCAAGTCTGCATGCTGTTTATGATGCAACAATTCTAAATGACCGAGGAGAAAATCCAGGATGCTCTATGAGACTGGTCTCCTCTACAGTAGTTACTGATACTACCTGATGAGACTGGTCTCCTCTACAGTAGTTACTGAGGATACTACCTGATGAGACTGGTCTCCTCTACAGTAGTTACTGAGGATACTACCTGATGAGAACTGGTTCTCCTCTACAGTAGTTACTGAGGATACTACCTGATGAGACTGGTCTCCTCTACAGTATGTTACGTTTACTGAGGATACTACCTGATGAGACTGGTCTCCTCTACAGTAGTTACTGAGGATACTACCTGATGAGACTGGTCTCCTCTACAGTAGTTACTGAGGATACTACCTGATGAGACTGGTCTCCTCTACAGTAGTTACTGAGGATACTACCTGATGAGACTGGTCTCTTCTACAGTAGTTTACTGAGGATACTACTGATGGGACTGGTCTCCTCTACATAGTTACTGAGGATACTACCTGATGAGACTGGTCTCCTCTACAGTAGTTACTGAGGATACTACCTGATGAGACTGGTCTCCTCTACAGTAGTTACTGAGGATACTACCTGATGAGACTGGTCTCCTCTACAGTAGTTACTGATACTACCTGATGAGACTGGTCTCCTCTACAGTAGTTACTGAGGATACTACCTGATGAGACTGGTCTCCTCTACAGTAGTTACTGAGGATACTACCTGATGAGACTGGTCTCCTCTACAGTAGTTACTGAGATTACTACCTGATGAGACTGGTCTCCTCTACAGTAGTTACTGAGGATACTACCTGATGAGACTGGTCTCCTCTACAGTAGTTACTGATACTACCTGATGAGACTGGTCTCCTCTACAGTAGTTACTGAGGATACTACCTGATGAGACTGGTCTCCTCTACATAGTTACTGAGGATACTACCCTGATGAGACTGGTCTCCTCTACGTAGTTACTGAGATACAAACCTGATGAGACTGTCTCCTCTACAGTAGTTTACTGAGATACTACCTGATGAGACTGGTCTCCTCTACAGTAGTTACTGAGGATACTACCTGATGAGACTGGTCTCCTCTACAGTAGTTACTGAGGATACTACCTGATGAGACTGGTCTCCTCTACAGTAGTTACTGAGGATACTACCTGATGAGACTGATCTCCTCTACAGTAGTTACTGAGGATACTACCTGATGAGACTGGTCTCCTCTACAGTAGTTACTGAGGGATACTCCCTGATGAGACTGGTCTCCTCTACAGTAGTTACTGATACTACCTGATGAGACTGGTCTCCTCTACATAGTTACTGAGGATACACCTGATGAGACTGGTCTCCTCTACTATTTTACTGAGGATATACCTGATGAGACTGGTCTCCTCTACAGTATTACTGAGGATACTACCTGAGAGACTGGTCTCCTCTACAGTAGTTACTGAATACTACCTGATGGGGACTGGTCTCCTCTACAGTAGTTAATAAATACTACCTGATGAGACTGGTCTCCTCTACAGTAGTTACTGAATACTACCTGATGAGACTGTCTCCTCTAGTAGTTACTGAGGATACTACCTGATGAACTGGTCTCCTCTACAGTAGTTACTGAGGATACTACCTGATGAGACTGGTCTCCTCTACTAGTTACGGGGATACTACCTGATGAGACTGGTCTCCTCTACAGTAGTTACGGGGATACTACCTGATGAGACTGGTCTCCTCTACAGTAGTTACTGATACAAACCTGATGGACTGGTCTCCTCTACAGTATTACTGATAACTACCTGATGAAAACTGGTCTCCTCTACAGTAGTTTACTGAGGATCTACCTGATGAGACTGGTCTCCTCTACAGTAGTTACTGAGGATACTACCTGATGAGACTGGTCCCCTCACAGTAGTTACTAAATACTACCTGATGAGACTGGTCTCCTCTACAGTAGTTACGGGGATACTACCTGATGAACTGGTCTCCTCTACAGTAGTTACTAAATACTCCCTGATGAGACTGGTCTCCTCTACAGTATTACTGAGGATCTACCTGATGAGACGGGTCTCCTCTACGTATTCGAGGATACTACCTGATGAGACTGGTCCCCTCTACATAGTTACTGAGGTACTACCTGATGGACTGGTCTCCTCTACAGTAGTTACTGAGGATACTACCTGATGAGACGGGTCTCCTTACGTAGTTACTGATACTCCCTTTTGATGAGACTGGTCTCCTCTACATAGTTACTGAGGATACTACCTGATGAGACTGGTCTCCTCTACAGTAGTTACTGAGATACTACCTGATGAGACTGGTCTCCTCTCCCAGTAATTTACTATGATACTACCTGATGAGACTGGTCTCCTCTACAAGAGTTACTGAGGATACTACCTGATGGAGAACGGTCTCCTCTACAGTAGATACTGATACTCCCTGATGAGACTGGCTCCTCTACAGTAGTTATGAGGATACTACCTGATGAGACTGGTCTCCTCTACAGTAGTACTAGGAAAAGAGTTCCCAAAATACAACCTGATGAGACTGGGCTCCTCTACGTAGTTACTGAGGATACTACCTGATGAGACTGGTCTCCTCTACAGTAGACTAAATACTCCCTTTGATAGACGGGGCCTCCTCTACAGTATTTTACTGAGGATACTCCCTGTGAGACTGGTCTCCTCTACAGTATTTTACTGAGGCACTACCGATGAGACTGGTCTCCTCTACAGTAGTTACTAAATACTACCTGATGAGACTGGTCTCCTCTACAGTATTTTACTGAGGATACTACCTGATAGACCTGGTCTCCTCTACAGTAGTTACTGAGGATACTACCTGATGAACTGGTCTCCTCTACAGTAGTTACTGAGGAACTACCTGATGAGACTGGTCTCCTCTACAGTAGTTACTGAGGATACTACCTGATGAGACTGGTCTCCTCTACAGTAGTTACTGAGGATACTACCTGATGAGACTGGTCTCCTCTACAGTAGTTACTGAGGATACTACCTGATGAGACTGGTCTCCTCTACAGTAGTTACTGAGGATACACCTGATGAACTGGTCTCCTCTACAGTAGTTACTGAGGATACTACCTGATGAGACTGGTCTCCTCTACAGTAGTTACTGAGATCTACCTGATGAGACTGGTCTTCCTCTACAGTAGTTACTAGGATACTACCTGATGAGACTGGTCTCCTCTACAGTAGTTTACTGGGATACTACCTGATGAGACTGGTCTCCTCTACAGTAGTTACTGAGGATACTACCTGATGCGACTGGTCCCGTCCTCTAAGTATTTAAACTGATTACTACCTGATGACTGGTCTCCTCTACAGTAGTTACTAGATACCTACCTGATGAGACTGGTCTCCTCTACAGTATTACTGGGATACTACCTGATGAG